ATATGGCTGCTTGGCAGCATGAGGAGACCTCTGGAGAACAAAGCTGGCAGAGCCCTGCTGGCAGCACAGTGGCTTAGGAAGGAGTCATAAGTCACCTCCAAGAATGGGGATACATAGTCCAGGGTCAAGGGAACTGCAGGGAAGAGGGAACCTGCTGGAAATTCCTAGAATGCACACAAAAAACACCCACAGAAGATCAGCCACAGCCACTGAAGAACCGTCCTATTCCCTTACTTCTCCTCCCTCCTCCACCGCTCCCTGGTGGGGACACAGTTAGCAGCTGGCAATGAAAAAGAGGGAACAGGAGAAGACTCGTGTCCTTTCTCTCCCCTTCTGGAGCAGGTCCTAACTGAAGGAGAGGGGAAACCATTCTCTCCAAATCAAAGTCTGAACATTCCAGTTATTGAATTGACTTAATTCCTCTGAAAACAATATCCTAAAATAAAGGCCCCAGAGGCAGCCTCAGAAACAAACAAACAAACAAAAAATATCTTTCTCTGACTTCCTTCTGCCCCACTATCTCTCAGTCCCATTCTCCTCAGAAGCTAGCCATAAAAGCTATTAATAAAATCCTACTTCCCCAAGATGAGTCATAGAAACCCAAACCCCTTTTCCCAGTCATCCATAAAACCCAAAAATATTACTGTAACTTTCCCTCTGCCTTCCTGTGTAAAAATCAGCCACAGAGAAATTATCTGGCCTGCCTTGTTTGCCTGTAGGTCACGAGACCACTATTTCAGAGAAGGTCCTGCCCCACACCCACAAGGAAGGTATCCTGCTCAGAGAGGCCAAGAAGAATCTAGACAAACAGGCCTTGCAAGGTTTCTCTACTCAGTCTATTAGCATTAGATCATAGCCTTTTGTCTAATCATATCTTTGCATGCCTGTTCTTTTATTAAACTTAAGCATAAAAATAGACAATTTCTGGCTGGGTGTAGTGCCTCTTGCCTATAATCCTAGCACTTTGATAGGCTGAGACTCTAGCAAGATCACTTGAGTTCAAGACCAGCCTGAGCAACTTTTAATACCCAGACTTTACAAAAAATTGAAAAATTAGGCAGATGTGGTGCATACCTGTAGTCCCAGCTACTTGGGAGGTTAAGACAGGGGGATTGCTCAAGCCCAGGAGTTTGAGGTTACATTGTAACCCAGGTGACAGAGTGAGAAATTGTCTCCAAAAAAAAAGGACAACTTCCCCTGTATCTCTGGGTCTTCATTTCACAGGCTTCTTATATACATGGAATAAATTTATATAATTTCTCCCCTATTCACATGCCTCTTGTTAATAATGTTCAACCAACCTTCAGAGGGCAAAGGAAAAACTTTCTGTGGCCCCCACACTACTCAGCATGACAATAGCATGTTACATAAAAAAAA